CCGCGCTGCCGCCCCGCGCAGGCTGCGGGGCCGCTCGGGGTCCGTGGTATGGGCCCGCCGCTTTCCCTGCGCCCGGGAGAGTGAGCGGCCGTTCCCCTGGAAGCGGGAGCCCGCGCCTGCCGCACGCTGGCCCTGCGAGGCGCGGAGGGGTGCGCGTCCCTGTGCACTTCGAGCTGGGGAAACCCGGCTGCGAGGGTCTGACTCTGCCAAGGAAAGCTGACGTTGTTCTCGTGTATTCGTATCACTAATGTACGTTAACATTTAATTAGTAATGTACGTTAACTTTTATCTAATGATTTGTATCAATGTGCTTTGCAGAAAAATGTTTTCTTTGACATAATCCAGTTCTTCAGCCTGTCACAGCTGCTGTTGCCAGACCAGGATGTCCTTGCAGACAGAATGTTCTGAAATTAACAGAACATGAGCTCGTCCAGAGTATTGTGCACCTCTTATCCCTTACACTGTTTTAGTTAACATCTTTGTTGGTGCCATGGGCAGTGGGATTGAGCACACCCTCAGCAAGTTTGTTGACAACACCAAGCTGTGTGGTGCCGTGGACACGCTGGAGGGAAGGGGTGTGCCATCCAGAGGGACCTGGACAGGCTGGAGAGGTGGGACCGTGTGAACCTCATGAAGTTCAACAAGGCCAAGTGCAAGGTCCTGCACATGGGTCGGGGCAATCCCAAGCACAAATACAGGCTGGGTGATGAGTGGATTGAGAGCAGCCCTGCAGAGAAGGACTTGAGAGGTATTAGCAGATGGAAAACTATGAGCCAGCAATGGGTGTTCACAGCCCAGAAAGCCAACCATATCCTGGACTGCATCAAAAAAAGGCATGACCAGTAGGTTGAAGGAGGTGATTTTCCATCTCTACTCCACTCTCTTGCGACCCACCTGGAGTCCTGTGTTTAGCTCTGGGGCCCCCACCGTAAGGAGGACATGGACCTGCTTGAGCAGGTCCAGAGGAGGCCATAGAGATGATGAGGGGGCTGGAGCACCTCCCCTGTGAGGACAGGCTGAGAGAGTTGGGGTTGTTCAGCCTGGAGAAGAGAAGGCTCCAGGGAGACCTTATAGCGGCCTTCCAGTACTTCAAGGGGGCTACAGGAAAGATGGGGAGGGACTCTGTATCAGGGAGAGTAGTGATAGGATGAGGGTAATGGTTTTAAACTGAAAGAGGGTAGATTTAGATTAGGTATAAGGTAGAAATTCTTCACTGTGAGGGTGGTGAGACACTGGAACAGGTTGCCCAGAGTAGTTGTGAATATTCCCTCCCTGGCAGTGTTCAAGGCCAGGTTGGACGGGGCTTTGAGCAACCTGGGCTAGTGGAAGGTGTCCCTGCCCATGGCAGGGGGGTTGGAACTAGGTGCTCTTTATGGTCCCTTCCAACCCAAACCATTCTGTGATTCTGCATTTTATGTTAATATTGCAGTTTCACCATGCTATGTGGTGCATATGCTTTCTGCTCAGGGGCTTCTGTCACATTTGTAACAGTTAGGTTTCATGGTCCAAGTAACATGAAAATGTCACAGCCCCATCTAAATAGTTACACTGCAAATGGTGCTTTGAAAACTTTTAAATGTTTGTTATTTGGAGGTAAACTAAAAACCCCTGACGTGCTCCATGCATTTCTATATGTAATTTTGAAGCAATTTGATCCCAGAAAATTTTTTTCATAGTTTTGGGGCTTTACTCTCAATTATATTAAAATGTTTCAATATGTCAGAGACACAAGCATAGGACAGTCAGCAGTGAATTTATTGTGGATCCAGAATCAGCTTGATTGACTCACTTCAATCAGAGTTTCAGGCCTTCATCTTAAAGACCCTTCTATCTAACTTACCTCATGCTTATGGTTAGGGTCATGGGATAATTGAGGTCGGAAGGGATCTCAGGAGGTCTCTAGGCCAAGATCCTCCTCAAAACAGATCAGCTGTGAGGCCAAACAAGATTGCTCAGGGTTTTATCCTGTAAGGCCTTGAAAACCTTCAAGGATGGAGACAGCAAGGTGTCTCTGGGCAACCTGTACTGCTGCCTTACTGGGCTCATAGTAAAAATGATTTTTCTTGTATCCAGTCTGAAGCTTCTTTTTCAACTTCTGCCTGTTGCCTCTTGGCCTCCTACCACATACGGCTATGAACAGCCTGGCTCTAGCTTGAAGCTCTAGTCAGTTCTAGAAGTCTGAGTTCCGTCAGTTTAGTGTCTTGTTTGGAATTGCTTTGATGTTTTGTCATATAGAACTCTGAACTTGTAAATGCAACTTTGCTTTGCTTTATTTGCATTAAAATTTACTTTGAAGATCACCACTTGAAGACTTGGTCTTTCTGATGTTTGTTCTTCTGAAAATGACTCCAGGTCCTAAGAAGCTTCTTACATCTTTAAGAAAATATATGTATGTGTGTGTATATATATGCGCATATATATATTTGGGGGAGTAGGCTAGTTGACAGTGCCCGGTCAGTCAGTGTATTTTACTGGGTCTTTATCAAGTGTGTGAGATGACTCAGGTGACTGGCTTTTTTCCCCTAAAACAATTATTTTTTAAAAAAATGGGTAAAGAAACTGTTTAGTATAGTTAAACCGCACCAAAAACTTGTTGAAAATAAATTATTTGTAGTATTTTTTGAAAGAAAATGAGCCAAAACTGAAGTTGCAGGAGCTGCTTTGCTGAAAATTTTCTGGAAGAGCACCTCCTTGTGATACAGTGAAGATAAACACAAAGGCATGTTTTGAAAAGTGAGGGATGTAATGATTAATTTTATTAAGCATATGGCTGCTGAAGAGGCTTTGCTTGTGGTTTAATCAGTGATCAGAATTTTCTGTTAATTTGCAGTAAATGTAATTCCCCAAACTTTGACTCTTTGGATGTTCATTTATTTCTATTTGTTTGAATGCCTGTTGAAGCTCCACTGACATTACTGAATAGTCCTTCAGTGGGCTTTAAATCAGGTCCTTAGATCTGTGGCTTAACTGAAAGGATTCTTGTAGCAAATTGAAAAATACAAAATTATGGCCTATTTTTCCTTGCACAGATTTTTTTCAGACTTCAGTCTCCTTACGCATTTGGCTATTTTTAGAAATGTCAGTGATCAAGCTACTTTGGTGCTTGGTCCTTTCCACCACTATTCTCTTATCACCAAATGCAAATTCCTTCCACTTTTGTGAATCTGGGAGGTGCAATGTTACAAATGTCAAATGTAACAAGGAAAGGAGATGTGAATAAAAAATAAAACATTTCATTCAGACCAGAAAAGTGTTTGAAATGGGATAATTTTCTTTTGTGAGAATTTAGATAGCTCTTTTAGGCATAAGATGCTCCAAAAGAGGCCAAAGTGCAGAATGTATTAACATGCTCAGTATCACTGTACTCATTCAGAATTTTTCCAGTGCTGTTTATGAAGAGACATATTAGTGTCTTGTATATGTGTATAGATCAGTTACTTCACAAAAAATGAATGTTTACTTCTAGTGGATGCTCTCAGACTATTCTTTAATGTTGTGACTTCTTGGCTTTTAGCTTCTAGAACAGAACATTGTTCACTTCTAAGCCTCTTTGCTAAGTGCGATTGATTTACTGGTGGTTAATCTATATCCCAAGTGGTTAATCTACAAAGATTTTGATTCTAATCAGGAATGGAACCAACATTTTTCCTCTTGATTCTCAATTTATTCCCTTTCTCACCCCCCCCTTTCTCTCTCTGTGTCTTTTTTTTATTTACTTAAAGGAAACACCGAGGAGGCTGGAAGGCTACTGGGCAGCAAGAATGTCCGTGTCAATTGCTTGGATGAGGTACAGCGAAACAGTACAAGCATTATGCTGGTTTAGCAAGGAAAATACTGGGTCTGAAGGCATTCTTGTTGTTAAATAACATTGCTATACAGACTCCTGGAAATCAGAGTTACTCTGAAGATATTTCCAGCCTACAGCTGAATAATGAACATCTGAAGAGCTCTTACTTTTTTTTAAGAAAGTTTAATGTTACTTAAAGTATGATACTGTTTGTATTTTCTCTCAAGTTCCACCATGACCTTTGGTGTCTGTAAGGTAAGAGGAACACTGCAGCAAGACATGTGAGGATGCTTCCTGACTTATTGTCACCTCCCTCTGCTTAGATAGCTGCAGACAGTGTGGATAAAGAATACCTGTTCCCCATCTTGTGCTTGCATCTCATCACCCAAAGCCATATCTTTGCAGAACTGTAAACATACTGGGAAAGTGAGTGACTAGGTCAGAAGTGCAAAACACATGTGTCTTGCAGAGGCAGGTGTGATAGGATAAAATCCTTAAGTGCTACTTGAAGATGGGAGGCAGTTTGTGGAGAAAGGAAGTTTGTGTGGCGTTCATATATTTCCTCTTCTTTTTTTGCAATGTTTTTCTGAAGTGTGCAACGTTAATATGAAGTGTGACATGGAAGCAAAACTGTAGTTGCCCACCATGCATGTTAGATCAATGTATAATTTATCCATTTAAATGTCAGTTTGTGTTTTTTCCCAACTTTATCATTTCATAGGATCACTGGTAAATTCAGGCTAGAAGGGACCTCAGAAAGTCTCTAGTTGGGCATCCCACTCAAAGCAGCTTCAGCCCTGAGGTCAGATGAGGTTGCTCTGAGCTTTATCCTGTCTGGCCTTGTGAACCTTCAAGGATGGAGACTGCGCTTATGCCCCTATGTCTGAACCTCTACTTCAACTTGGGCTCATTATCTCTTGCCCTTCTGCCACCAGAACTGAAGAGTTTGGCTCCATCATCTCAGTGAGCTTCCTGTAGGCACTGGCAGGGTGCTGTAGGGTCCCACCAAAGCCATTTCTTCTCCAGGCTGAACAAGCCCAGTTCCTGAAGCCTCTCTTTACCTCACAAGTGCTAAAGTTCCCACCATGTCTTGGTGGTACTCCGCTGAACTCGCTGCAGTTTATCCATGTCTTTGTTGTTCTGAAAGGCCAAAAATTGGACAAGTAGATGTGGTCTCATGAATGCTAAATGGAGGAAAATGATCACTTCATCTACTGGTTATCTTTGTGGAATATTGTTCACCTTTTTTGTGCTGCCAACAGATCCATTTTCTGATTGTTCTTAAATGCAGTTAAATATTTAAATCTTAATTTCTAGTGTATGAATTTCAACATGCTTCTGACAAGCTAGTCAAACTAAGCTTTACAGAAAACTTCAGGAACCCAAGATACGATGTAAGTTTGTTTGTAAGTGTGCTTTATTATATGGACATCTAAAGCTTTTCTTTTGGTGTAATTGCTGAACGACTGCACCCTTGATGCAGTATTAGTGCAACATGCAGAATTACTGTTGAGAGGATATGGTTTATTAATAGAAACCATAACTGAGTTATGCTTCAGGCTATTGTTAAAGAATGAATAATTTTAACAATACTTGCCTAATGCTCACATCTGACTAAATACACCCCAGGCACATAAAACTAAATTTTTACATTGGACTTCTTGCAGTCTCCTTTTTATCCCCAGGAGTGGTGTGTAATGTTGCATATTGAACAGGAAAGGGTTCAGATTTGTTTAGAATTCTTAATACATCAGTCATCTCACATCAACTTTTAGAACTTTTCTATTATAAATTACTTTCCCTCTAATGTGTTATTCTAATAATCTAGCGTGTGAGAAACCTCGGTTAAACATTACCTTCATCTGTTATTCAATGCTGCCACAACTGGAGTCTGCTTTGAATGCATCAGGTCTTAACGTTCTTCCTCTGCTGCCTTAGTTGTTTATCCTGAAATTCATATTATTACTTGTATTACTACTGTTACATATTTTTATTGATGTTAAGAAATGAGGAAACAGCTCTGAAAATTGAAAATACTTAGATATTGAAATGGGAGCACAATTCACTTGGGAACTAAGAACTCATTTCCTTCCTTGAAGTCCTTTTTACATGAGAGAATCCACAGAGTGAGAACAGGTTTAACCTAATTCTCTCTTCTATTTGTGGTACAACAAACATGCAGTCACAATTTAATAATTTCCACAGGCTGGAGAATCCACAGCATCCAGAAGCAGGCTGTTACATATTGCACTTCCTGATTTAAAAAATAAACAAGATAACCCTTTAATTTTTGGTTTTACCATATATTCTAACTGCTTAGATCTGCTTTCTTCTAGATTAAAAACAACTGACAATAAGCCATCTTTACATACCTTTAGACAAGGACCAAGTCACATTTTAACATCTTCTAAATGCACACTGACTTTTTAAAATATCTTGCCTGAAGATATGTTTCTTCAGTAACTGAGCTATAATCATGACTCTCTTCCAAATCCTTTCCAGTTGTTTCAGCTTCTTCCTTTAAAAATGCTAGGCATGGCTGGACACAGTATTTCAGCATTGCTTCTGCTATTGTTACATGTATTTAAAAAATAAAAAATTGCTCCTCTAAGTCTATTTGCATTTCCCGTCCATGTGACAAGACTCACCCTTCACCTCCTATCTGCAGTGTTCCATTTGGTGTAATAGGTCACTTGAAGGCAGAGTAAGACCCCTTTATTCAGATTAGTTTCACAGATGCCCATCTTCCAGAAGGTTATATATATCCAGCAGATACAGTCCTGTTTTTTCCCAGCGTCCTTTCTGACCAATTTTTTGTTGTTGTTTCTGTGAGGATTTAGGTAGTTGATGAAAGGGGAAAGGTATTTAGGCTTAATCACTGTCTTCATGAAAGCAAAGAATAGCTCTTCCACAAACCTTGTGCCAAGGGAGCACTGCAGCACTACAATCCCATATTTTCTGTAGATCAAGCAGAGAGGCTTGACCTGAAAAGGCTTCACATTTTTTCTGTATTTAAAATAACTTTAAGGTCGTTCATGATCATCTTATATACAAAATTATCATTTGGCATTTGCAGCATTACTTTTTTCTTCTAGTTTGGTAATACAACTATTCACTTCTGTAATAAAATACATCTTTTAGAAACAGTCCACTTAATTACAGAACTGAATACTCTGGGAATTACAGCAGCAGCCTGCTCGATAGCTTATGAGGTATATGTAGCTTTAGTCATGCTGATTATGTTCAGTGAAGGGTTCTTCAATTAATCTATTTTGCTATTCCAGCATGAACTGAATGTGCCCAGATCCTTGGCCTTTATTGAGGAGAAAGAGTTCTGTCTTTTGATGTTTCTTACATAGTATTTCAAAATACACAAATCAAAGAAAACTCAGCATCTATTAAGAATTATCTGGTTTCAATTCAGGTCGCTGACTGATGTAGACTTTAACTTTTCATCACTACAGATGAACAGAAAGATCAGCAGAGGAAACTAATGTGTTACATATGTGGAACTAACAGTGCAGTAGGATGACTCTAAAGGAGGAGAACTGTAGCTACAATCAACACTCACTGAACAGTATTTCATATTCTAATTAGTTCATAATTAGCTATAGCTAAAATTATTTGTGCATGTTATCTGTTGACTACCTTCCAAATCCTGCTTGTAATAAGTTTAAGATAGGTAAGAGCAACCTTATTTGAAAGCTTTAAGGGTGAAATTTCTAAAGGCATTCATCCAATGAAAATTTGATTCATGTATTTCTACACTAGCAGCATTCAGTACGATTTCTGTTAAAAGTCAGAGACTTTTTTGCAATCCGATTCCAGATACCTATCTCAACCACTCCTAATAAGTTGGCCTGATTTCAGTAGTGCTCTTCCTTTTTATTTAGGAGGATTTATTTTGAAGACATACGTCAACTAGTATTTCTGTGTTCCTTGTGGCAACTGCTCTTTTTGCATCATTTGATTCCTTTTCAGTAACTTCCCAAGTACTGTCTCAAAAGCCAAACGTACAGTCTATGTGTTTAGTTTGTAATTTTCTGAATAAATAGAATTGGTATAGTTGCCTGAATATAACAAATAAAATGAGGCATTCTTTCCATTTTAATGTGGGCCTCAGTTTTTCATTGCAAAATTATCTGGGAAAGGGAGAGGTGGTTGCTTTAACATTGTCAGCGTACAAGTGTCTACAACAGTTTTTTCAGCTAGGGTTTTCACAGCCCTTTCCCTTTCCTGCTATATTTATGTAGCTAGTATTCACACATGCAGTGTCTCCATGGACCCCAATACCTGCTGAGAGAGCTGCTCCAGTGTGATCCAGACTACATGTGCCACATCTTGGCCAAGTTTCCATGGTTGAGAAGAAGGGTGAAGTGAGCATGAGAGGTGTAAAACACTGGGAATTTTGGGACCACTTGGATTCCTCTTTTCTCTTAGAGAACACAAGTCTGTGTGGCTACTTCAGTAGTGAATCATCAGCATTTTATCCACAATACAGTGGCTTTTAAAAATATATTTGTATCATGTCTGTGTTCTTACACAGTCAGTGTGAGTGTTCAAACATGACATAGTCAGTTTTTCTGCCAAATATACACGGTTCACTGGGATGCGAGATGGTCTGTGTATTTTGTTTGTTTGTCCCAGCTCTTGTTCCGTGGCCACCCCACACTGTCCAGTTCCTCTGGTCAACAAAGGCTGAGAAACCGTGTTGCTGAAAACTTCCCCCTTAGTTCCTAGAAGGCAGAAGGCTGCTTTTCCAGTTTATTAACTTTATAAATGTTTTTATTCATCCTGTGGACTCACACCTCTCCCTGGTGCTGAAGAGAGGTAGATTGACCTGCTTGCTTCTTCCCCCGCTTCTGGTAGTGAAGTCCAACCCCTCCCTGGTTCTGGTACTTATCTGCCCCTCCTGCCTCCCCATGTGACCTTTTCTTCCCTTGTTAGCCAATTCAGCCCACTGACCCTGTAGTTGTTTTTTTTTCTTCAATTGACTTTCCCACCATGGCAGCATTAGGTCAACTTAGCCCTTAGAATCCCATCCCTCAGTCTGCTTCTGGTATATTTTCAGCATCAGGAACTGGGCAGGTCAGTGTGTAATGGCTGGGCTGGCTGTGCTATGGAGGCCTTGGTGGTTGATGAGCAGAAGAACCTGGTCAAGTGAGGTACCAAGCAATTTCTAGAGGCACTCCAGACTCTCTTCCCCTTGTACAGTCAGACATAGAAGGAGTACTTAGAGCCCTGCAGAACGTGGGAGATGTTAATTTTTCTCCCTGTAACCCATGTAACATCCCTGCAAAGTAAACAAGAAACTGGGAAAGATTCATTTTTGTCCTAAGGAATGAGGTTAAAAGACTGGGTTTTTGGTCAGAAGAATGTTACATAGAAGCTGCTAGAAAATGGATTCTTCATCCTATGTTCTGCACTGGAACAAGAAATAATTTGTTTCATCTGTATGTTTAATAAACTGTCTGCTAGTTTAGTCTTTTACATATGTTGTATTGTCAATCCAAATATCAACTGTCAGAAAACAGATTGTTGCTGAACCTGTCTTTGAGAAGAGTGTTTGCAGTCACTTCAGTTTCTGCACGGGGACATAATACAGGATACCAGGCTTTTGCAGATAAACTTATGTCTAGCCTGTCCCTTTTTTCTTTGTTGTGAATGTGAAAGCCTGATACTAGTGTGACTTTAAATCTAATTTTCAAATGACTGCCCGCATGTTTTCTGCTTGCTATGTTTTTTATGATCCACATCAGATACTTTGAAAATTTAATCAAAGGCTTTTAAATAAATTTTCCCAGGAGGACGGGATGACAAGAAAAAGCCCAGAAAACCCCACCAACCCTTTCCTCTTCCTATAACCTTCAGACAGATTTTTCTTAATTGAAACAACTGGCATTCAAGATATAACCAAACTTAGTCACTGTTTTCTTAAAGTCCTTCTCCAGTCAAAAACCTTACTGTGTTCATATCCCCTTACAGCATACTTTTCTGCACTGCTAAAGGAGGCAAGTCTATACTATGGCTTCAGACTGGGATTGGCCCATAAAAATTGCTGTCAACATATAATGTAACATAACATAACACTTTATATATTAGAAGAGAAAGCCTTTACTTAACCTTTATAGGACCACAAATGAAACCTAGCAGAAGCGATCACAAATTTGTTTCATGTTTGTGAAATGATCTCTTCAGACCTATTGCAGTTTACCAAAATATTTTGGGCTACTAAAATATAATGCATCAAGCAATCATTTCTTATTGTTTTCAGTTAGGATGGGGAATAATGAAAGTTTAACACTTTAAAATTGTTATTATAATTTTAACTTTCCCAATTTCCCTTACCTTTAGAGAAGTTACACTGATAAATAGAACTCAGTTGAGATTTATTCTGTCATAAGTTGAAACAAGAAATATATTAAGGCCCAAGCTGACAATGACATTGTTTCAGAGTATCACATTTCCATGCAAACACAGATGCAGTAATGGTGTACATGAGTGGATTCATACACACAGCCTTAACCTGCAAAAAAGGAAGAAAATGCTATTTTTATTTCCTTCAGGGACAAACTGCCTTGTATTCAGTGCTGGAGAATGTTCTTGGGCAACTACTATGTCTTGGCTGCTAACATGAATCCTGACTTGATGTTAAGTGAAAATAAACAGCATATTGGAAAAACCATTATCAGATTCTAAAACTGGAATGTCGTGCACTTTTCTCATACAGAAATGTGCTTTTCCCTGCCCTTTGAGAGGGTGAGAACCTGCACTAACAATTCACCCTAGTTCTGAAAATTTCCCTTAGGGTTTGCACAGTTTGCATTTATAATTACACCAGTACAACTCTAATAAATACATAGTGCCTCCCTTTCTGAAGCTAATCCTTTTTGTACTGGTGGAGTTTATCAAAAGGCAAGGCTTGAGACTGTGTGGTTGATAAAGTCTGCTTAGAGTTGTGTATCTTTACAAGGGCTTTCAGAGCTCTGGCTGATGTAAGATCAGAGACACAAGACCAAAAGGGTGGATAAATGGGACAGATCAGGATAGCACAATTAGCAGTAATCAATGACTAAAAATGAGCAGGATGGGTTTCAGAAATTGCACATCTTTGTAATACCAAAAAGAACAAGAACCTATTCCTAATTTTCTCGTTGCTTTTCATATAATGGAGACAAGAAAGAATTCTATAACCTAAGAAATTTTCTAAAAGTAGCTTTCCTATAGCAGAAGCATTAGTTGTCCTTAACGCTAGTGTCTTACACAGATGGCCAATCACAAATCAGCAGTAATTGGTTTCCATTCAACTGGTGCATTTTCACATATACAACACAGCATACTCAGAAAAGTGACAGGGAAATAGAAAATCTACTGCATGGCAGTTACCATATTTTTTCATTATGATTTTGTGAGCTTTTTTGTTATCGCTAACTTAAATATTACATGAGGCTTTAGTAGTTATACTGAATATGTATGTACAAGTAAAAATCGACAGTAGTATGAAGATCAAGAGATACAACTAATTCTTTTCTGTATGCTACTTCCTTCCTCTTTCTTCTGTTAGCATGGCATGACCCCTCTAATGCATGCAGCGTACAAAGGGAAAATAGACATGTGCAAGTTGCTCTTGCGACATGGAGCTGATGTTAACTGCAATGAACATGAGCATGGATATACTGCCTTGATGTTTGCTGGACTTTCAGGTAACTTCTTACTAAACTTGGATCACTGATTTTTATGACATTGGTGGAGACGATTTGCCATAAATTAAAGGAAAATGTTGACATATTTTTATTATTATTCATGTGAACCATGCAAATATGTCAAGACCGGTAGTATCACTGGGACACTGGAATAGGAGAGCTGCTGTTCCGGCTTTGGATCTTTATTCATATAAAAATTGGTTTTGTTCAGTGTTTTGAGGCATATAGTCTATCTCTACTACTATTTGTTACAAATCTCAAAATTCAGTCTCTTGTGACAGTTTTCCTGTGCAGTGGGATATATTCTGTTTAATTATACTATGCATACTATACTGTTACACTGGAAAAGATACTGCACCAAACTGCCTTTTTTTAGGCTACAGATCAGTAGCTTCTAGTAATATTTGAGGCTTGTCAGTATTTTTCAAATTTTGCCTTTCTCCTGCGTTATTTTTGCAATTATCTTGTGGGCTTTCAAAAATATATTTAGTAAGTTTTAAAAACATGTTTTCTCACATCAATTATCCCTTCCTCTTGCATTATCTTTTTTCCATGGGAGTGCTTATAGCTGTATATCTTCTCCTGTCTCAGGTGGTGGTTTGCAGCTTTCCTCTTGCTATTCTTTTTCCCTGATGAAAGGAATAATTATTTCCTTGAGTCAGAAAAAGACACTATAGAAAAAACTTTGTTCTTTCTGGAGAAAATATTAGATTTGGGAATATTAGGTTATTTTAAGTATCTTCTTTACTAGGCCACTTATATCTTCCCAAAAAGGAGATTCTAGGGAAGTAAAATTTCTTAGCAGGTAGAGTTTAAACTCTGCCTTCTTTCATCATAAGTATAAAAAAAAGAACATTAACTGGATCATCAGATTGCTTTTCTCATAAAACTTTGTTAAAAAGATTTTGGAAATTCCAGCATTCTGTGGCATTGAGCAATATCAGAGCTGCAGCAGATAGATTGGAACAAACTCTTAGAAGTTGTTAAATGACTGCAGCCTTATGCAAAATGCTGGATTTTACCATTTTTCACAGCTGGGTTTGAATGCTTCCAAATGTTGACTTCAAGGTCTGTTACCTGTGAGTGCAAAAGGCACATGGACACTACTGACTCAATGCCTTTAAGTCAGAAACTTCCCATCCACCACCCCCTTCATATTCACTTTTTTGTACTTAACATATGCATGATAACTGATAAAGTAAGAATACCTTTGAAAGCAGAATCAGCACAAGTGGTGACAAGTGTCCTTATTAGTCTCTGAAGGGCACCAATTAAGTCATCTAATCTTCCCATCAAATTTTAGCTTCATTTTACTTGGTGTTTAGCCTAGTCTGAACACCCAGTTCCTGCTGTGGAGAAAGGAACAATCTGTTCTCTTCGCTCCTGCTACATACTAGTACTGGATTTGTTTTTCTTCTTAGAATAGCAAATGTTGCAGTTGAACTGTCAAACTAGATTAGTAGAACTTGCTTCTATACTGCTATGCAGAGGGACCAAGCTCTAGCATAGTTACATGCATATGACTCCGGTAAGCTCCACAGGGAGCTGAATGTGCATTACGGAGAGCAGAGTTACACACTGCCTGAATGTAGTTTTTCGTTTGATTTGACCCTCTGGAACCATAAATAAGGAAGCAGCACCATGTCTTTCTCTTAATCCATTATTAAAATAATGAACATTTATTTCCCTCAGTGTTACTCCTGATCTTTAAGAAATTCACTCCTTGTTTTTCTACAAGACTAAAGAATTACAAGATCTGGTTTGTTCTCTCTTATTCTCCATATCTTCCCCCCAAATTTAGGAAACAAAGAAATCACTTGGATGATGTTAGAGGCTGGAGCAGAGACTGATGTTGTCAACTCTGTGGGAAGGACAGCAGCTCAGATGGCTGCTTTTGTAGGTAAGGTGAAAGTCTATTATCATTTCCTAAACTCCTAAAGAAGTAAAATGTTAGATTCTGATGCGTTTTATTGGTGAACATTATTTAATGACCTGATCTGAACTGATGCAGTTGTTCAGCTTTTTTTCCATATCTCATCCTGTATCAGTCAATTTATGTTCTATTCCCATGCTTTGTTTCATAAAAGCACAAGTGATACCTGTAAAAATAGATGCTGCTGTTCTTCAGGTGTGCAAGTTTTTGCAATATCATCACTTTTCAAATAGTAATAGGAGGCTGATAACATCTGATGTGTCTGAAGTGCAAGTAGATGCTTCTGCAGTATGATGCACGTGACTGAAGCTTCCTTTGTGGGAAGGAACGACCTCAGCATTACCAGTCAGGAACTCTCATCAGAGCTTTCCCATGAGCATGCTGTGTGCTAGTGGTTGAGTCATCTCCTGCCCTTCTCCCTCTGCATTTGGGAGAAGGAGAAATCTCAGAACCTGTTCTGAGGTGGGTCAGCACTTACTGACCTGAACTTGAGTAGAACAAGATGAAAAGTTTGTCATTGCTGTATGCTGTGAGATCCTGGGCAAAACATGGAACCAGGCTGTTTTCTGTTGTTACGTTGTTTCTTCTTGTCTAATTTTTCTAAACTTTTTTTCACTTCTTTGCCCATCTTGACAGTGATGGGAAATTCCTGAATTACCATTCCCACATATAGCACTTTTTCTCTATTTTTAGCAAGGATGTGTGACAAAATACTGCCAGAAAAAGTGGAGTCATTTTAAAGACTCAGTTATTGCTGTCCAGTTGACCTTCCCAGCAACCAAAAATGAGGACCTGTATTTTCATTTCAACACAACCTTCCCGTATTGTTTTAATGTCTGAGAACTCCCTTTCAAGTCCATTGGTTGTTCTGAATTCAAGAGCCCACCTTGCCATTTAGATTTACTTCCTTGAATAGTGAGTTGGTGTGGTTTCGGTTTCAATCATATCTCATTCTGGTCTTTTAAAGAGGAAAAGATTGACATTGCTCACTTGAGATTCAAGCAGCAAAACTTTTAACGATTCACTTAATATGTCAGAGAAGTCCACTCCTACTAATGATACATTGGATTTGGAGAGTCTTTTCCAATGTGATGCTGAATTGAGTTATTAGTGAATAAGGAATGTTATCTCCAACATCATTTTGGTGAATTCTTGTTAAAATCTCATCATGTCACCAAGATAGAATAAATATTTTCAGGCATACTGAGATACGCTACTCTGGAAAAGTCTGAACATTGGAATCCATTCCCGTTCTTTTTTATTCTCTGTCCAATCAACATTAATTCATCTGTCTGTGTGTGGGAAGTGAAGATACTTCTTACCCTGTCATTTGTCTTACACTGTGTTCTATTAGCTTAGAACAGTCTCTTCTAAAACAGTGGAGGGTTTTAAGTGCTGGAATTTGGTTGGCTGTGTCTTCTTCCACTGATTAATAGGATTAGTGCCAAGATAGATCAGTCAATATAAAGAATGTGGTCCTGAACTAGAGAAGCTAAATTTTACTTTCCCCTTAGCCAAGTAATCCATCATCTTGTCAGATGTAGAAAACAAGAAGGGGGTGTAACTTCACTCACCTTGTTACTTTCATCACAGTCCTTTTTTCTTGGTAAATTTTAAGCATATTCTGTACTTATAACTTCTCCCACTTTAGGTTAGTACACTACTATCTGTTTCAGGTCTGAAAACTTACAAGTCTCAGTGCAAATGTCACTGATTTTTCAAAGTACAAAGTGCAGAGAACTTCTCTTGAAAAATGTTAACACCAGGTTGAGGCTACTAGTATAATATAACTTTGTGAAAAAATACCTGTTCTCTTACTTTTGCCTTACCAGGGAAGAAGGATGTGGGAAGGGGAGAGGGTTCACAAAATGAAATTTCATTAAGTCCTTCCCTGTTGGGAGTCAGTAAGTTACACTTGCTGAACATAAAAGTTACACACAAAAGAATGGCAAGAGTTGTCTGTTATCAGTGTGAAGCAGATCATGTTAAGCTCTTTTGTGGGTAATTCTCACCTGTATTGCTTATATTATATTTGGGTTTAGGTCTTCTTTTTTCTGGTTATTATTTAATTTAATTGGTGATTTTTTTTTCTTGTGCCTTTAGGTCAACATGACTGTGTGACCATCATCAACAACTTCTTTCCACGTGAAAGGCTGGACTACTATACTAAACCTCAAGGCTTAGATAAAGAGCCAAAACTGCCAGTAAAATTAGCTGGGCCTCTGCATAAAATTATAACTACTACTAACATGCATCCGGTTAAGGTGGAGTAATATGTAAATTTATTGTTGTTTTAAGTTGTGTGTTGTTGGCACATGTTTCTTTATATCAGGAAGCATGCAGCTCTTCCAAGAGTCCAACTGAGAACAAAAACATTATCCACTAATTCAGATGCTTCTGAAAATGAGAAAGAATCATGCTCAACATTTAGACATGACTAAAAAATGAAGCTCTTCCAGTGTTTATATACACCAGAATCTCGAAGTAACACCTTTAAGTGGAGAGATTCTCATTTGTTTACATCAATAACCATAAATAGCTTTCTGTTTTGGCTTTCTTTTTTTCCTAGCCCCACTTGAAGTGGAAACATAAACCCATTTCCTATCTTAACAAAATCTCATTGTTTTCTCAATGCTTGTCTCAGCATGTATCTTCCTACCTTCATCATAGTTCACCATAGTAACATTTACTGCTGCTGCTGTTTCTGAGTATGTGCAAGAGACATTTATTTTTACTTCCCAGTATATTTGCTGAAAATAATTTCTTTTATGGTTTGCTGTTCCAGTGTAGTTCAGAGAAATTAATACACCTAAATTCAAAGGCAAGTTCCTTGGGCTTGCCATTCATAGTCAGTAATTTGTCAACAGTTGCCAGCCAGGTATCTGCAGTATGTACAAACAGTGATGCATCAGTGGCAGCTAATTTAGTGAGTAGAGTATATGGTTTCCTTTTAAAATGGTTAGTTCAGTGCTTTACTGTAGTACTCCAAGATTATGTGAGGTTGATGTGCTCTGTGAAACTGCTTAAATCATACAAGTTCAGTTTATTTTAGGTGTTCAAAAGGCAAGAGATTTTAGGACAGTGTATGGTAGTTTCTGTAACTCTCGAAATGGTTTTGATTCTTCAGGTTCTTATTCTGAAAAGAAATCCTTATTATTTTTATTACTAGTCTTAATTTTAAATGTTTCTTGTATGGGAACTGTGAATTACAGTATACTAAATAATAATACTAAATAATGACTGAAAAAAGAAGAGGAAGACTGTATAAGATGGAAGTACAGGAATATTAGGAACACCACTGAAATTTAGCTATAATGAACTGTATAACCTTTAATGTTAATGCACAAGTTTAAATATATGAATTCTTAATTGGATTACATCTTCTTCAATCTTTCTCATAGATTGTGTTGCTGGTAAAAGAGAACCCTCTGTTGGCCGAAGTAGAAGCACTGCAGAAATGTTACAGGGTTCTGGATCTAATTTGTGAGAAATGTATGAAGCAGAAAGATATGAATGAAGTACTTGCTATGAAAATGCACTACATCAGTTGCATCTTCCAGAAATGTATTACATTTTTAAAAGAGCGAGAGGATAAACTAGATGGATTTATCAAAAGGTACATGTTTCTACAGAGAGGTCTGAAGGCATATGTATGAATATCATACATTTCAAATATCAGAAAAAGACAACTGTAATAATAGATTGGATTGTCTTGGTTAAAGGCTATGTCAAGTAAATTTTGAAATTATCCCAGCTGCAGTCACTTCAGGGTGGCACTGACTCCTTTTTTTTTTTTTTCTCTGTCTGAAGTGGCATTGTCCTTTCCTAGGGTACAAAAGAAACATTCCTGTAGTTTCAGCTCCCTGCTGGAACTGGTTAGATCTTGGCAGTCACACAGACACTGTGAAGCAGCTGCAACATGTGGTGGAGAAAAGGGAAGTGATACGCTTGAAAAAAATAGTTTCTCAATGTCCGATATTGATAATCTGGGAACATTTCTCCTGTCATTTTGCTCTCCAGCAGTCATACAGGGTGACATTTTTTTTCAAAAACAGTTAAGCAACTGAGAACTGCAGATCCCACTGGATCTGGATAAGACTTGGACTCTTGAATCACTTTAGACAGATCCTCAGAACCCACTCAGTCACAAAACCAGCTGCCTGATCTTAAGTATCAAAGTGGCCTGGCTTTTAGGAGTATCACATTCCCCATGGACCTCCATGGATTTCTACGTGATACTGAAAATAAGTTATGAAGTCAGCTTTCACATAATGAAATCAAATAGTTTATCAGTGATCCATGTAAAAAAGTAGCAGTCATCCAGATAAATATAGAGGCATCGGGACTATAACACATTATTAAACATAAGTAAAGCAGAATTTTTATTTTAAAGTATTGTGCATTCTTTCATGTTTATTTTTACAATACTAATTTTTAAACACAACAAAGCATTTTCGCTGCTTTAGGCAGATGTAGATACTAGTCTACCTGTACATGATTATTTTTCTCTGTGTGGTTGAATCAGTAAGTGGTGGTTTCAGAGCACACATTTAGTTATTTTGTATTGCATAATGATTGTACATTACAATAAAAATAATTTCATTTGCATTTTTAACACTTTTATGTATGAAGTTGCCAAATTCTTTTGAATTATAATTGTTCTCTATAATTTGAAAGAGGACAGAGTACACCATGCTGTATACATTTGTTCTTGAACATTTACTATGTGAATTTCTTATTTGACTTTTTTTTTTTAAATTTAGTCTCTTGAAAGGGAGAGATAAAGATGGTTTCCCTGTATATCAAGAGAAGCTAATTCGAGAAAGTATCCGAAAGTTTCCTTACTGTGAAGCTACATTGCTCCAGCAGCTCGTGAGAAGTATTGCTCCTGTTGAAATAGTAAGTTTTTTCTATCAAGAAAATATGCTAAGCAACTTGCATAGTAAAATCAGTTTGAACTAAGCTATCTCTCTGTTCCTCAGCTTCTACAATTTATCAAAGGTTTTTAATGCCCCTGAACTCTCTGGCAAACTGGAATTTTATTTGACATATTGCAGGAAAGTGCTCTCAAATACTTCAACTAGTAGTTTTTTTCCATGCCCATAATGAATGCCTAAATACCTCAGCTTTTAAAGAAACCTGTAACAATTTGTTTCTTGACTCATAGCTTTCATTTCCTTTTCTGGGATGTCTATTCAGTTTTTCTTTGCCAATTCGATTTTACAATTTGTAGATTCAGATACAGATGAAACTCATTTTGCACTCTTTTTTCACAATGTCTAAATTCAACTTAAGATCAAACCATTTCCTAGATTTAATACATTCTTTATTTCTAGTGTACATGAAAAGTTGGTAATATATGATGGTAGAAAAAGAAGAAACATTCTGTGAAGCTCCTTTTATCACAGGGAGAGGCAAGATGATGCAATGCAGAGCAAAATCTATATCTGAATTAGGAAATCAAAATTACAAGTAAAAAATCTAGCTTCAGTTTTCCTCATATGCCTTTGCTAACACACTCTTCATTATAGTACTGTCAATTGCTTCATAATAAATCTTGCACAAGAGTTTCTGTTCTATTTTTAAGAATGCTCTTTCTGTTCTCTGAGAGCTAGATGTTACATGCACTGGGGAAGTGGAACAATTTTGTGACGTGTTTAGATTATGCTGAGTGAATTAAAAATAGCCTCCATCTTAAGTAGCTTCAAGTCTACTAAAATGTCCTGAGGCTTAATGCAATCCCTACTGTTTGTCTAAGCCAGAAAAATAAACACAGTATGAAAACATAAGCCATCGTGATGCATTAAGATGTGCTCTAGAGTAAACATGTTCTTTCCTGTCCCTTTTTTTCTTCTAAGACCTTGCAGTCTTTTCTGCCTTTAAAGAAATACAGTTGGTTACATTGGATTTCTGTCCATTATGCAGAACTGGAAAGGAGGAGATGCTATAAATTTTTATTTGTCTGGAAGCCTTTGACATGCACAATTACTTGGATTCAGCCTGGGCACCTCAGCATTGTTGTAGTAGTTATGATGGTGCATATTCCATGGTAGTCTAACAGTTTAAGGATTTACTTAGATTTGAATCAATTTGGCATTTTTTTCCTCTAATATTTACATCATTGTCCAAAAGAATAGTCTTAATTTATGGTTGCCAGTAAAATAGACTAAATCTTACTGCTTGTACTGCATGGGAAAGGTACTGCAAATATATCTAAATAATAATATGCAAATAATTGTTTTGAAGATTTTTGAGTTCTGACCATTTGGTCTGTAGCATCTGAGCACAATAGTATATCAGCGACAAGTAAAATATCTTTCTGTGTGCCAGCACAGAGACTAATCTGCAAAAACCTGCTGCATATGATCTACAAGCAGGTGACAGTGTATGAAGAACACTTGAGTTCACTAATAGTATTAGTAACAACTTGCAGAATAAAAAAAATGGTAATTTTTATCCTCCCTTCTACAGAAGCTAAAGACTAAGTTGACTTTATAAACAGAATTTTATCTAACCATATAAATGTTAAGTTGTGCATGTTAGTTGAAGTTCCATGATTTAGTTTTATGTTCTTGCTGCTATGGCATCTTCAGTGAGACTGCAACTGGCCGGCTGGAAGCTTGCATTGCTTGGTTTGTTTTTCTCTTGCGTGTACCTTTTCACGATAGTGTTGTTTTCTAATCTCATTACCACCTCTTGTCTTACCTTTCAGGGTTCTGATCCCACAGCTTTTTCTGTACTTACACAAGCTATTACTGGCCAAGTGGGTTTTGTGGATGCTGAATTCTGTACAACTTGTGGGGGAAAGGGAGCAGACAAAAGATGTTCAGTATGTAAAATGGTAAGAATCCATAAATGGTGATAATGAATCACAAAAACTAGTGCTGCTGAGGATTTTGAATGCTTCACTATTTGCTCCATAAATTTAGGAGGAATGGTATGTGTGCCTACACTGAAAATGTGCAAGCCGTCTGCTTCTGGAAGAGATGCCTGAAGTTCACAAGTACTTGGATATCCAAGTGTGTATGTTTAAGAATAAAGAAAGAGTAAAATTTCTGTATGTTCAGAGTTCACAAAACAAACTCTTCTTTATAGAGTTTTATATAGGTTAGAATCACTCTGTATGACCTTACAGATTGCTTAAAAATACCATTAAGTACTATTCATAGAGAGATTTAACTTGGTAGACTAAGAAACGCAAGAATATTGTGTATTTTTTTAGTACATGAAGATGAATTGATAGCTCTGGTAACTTTCAGGTGATGTACTGTGACCAGAACTGTCAGAAAATACACTGGTTTACCCACAAGAAAGTCTGCAAGACCCTGAAGGAAATTCATGAGAAACAAGAACTAGAAGCTGCCAAAGAAAAAAGGAAACAAGAAGAAAAAAAGCAGAAGAAAGGTTAGGATCTATAGTTTGCTTGCTGAAACTAATGCTGCATTAGCTGCACCACAAGGAACAATAGTAATGGGTCTCAAAATCTGTAACAGCTGAGGTTGAAAGAAAAATCTTTGCTGTAACAGCAAACCCTCATTTGTTGAAATTTCAAGTCTTTCCATTTACAGATGCTGTGTACTTTCTAAAATGTGGTTTTTAATGCTAGACTTACACAGGTTTTTACAGCTAAAGCATTCTGTATTACACTGCACTGTTTCAAAATCCAAATCTGTAATCAAAATCATGCAGGAGTTTCATGCTACTCTTTCATTGGAGGTGTTTGGACAAGTTGGATAATAAGCAAGCAGCCCTCTCCTTCCAGTTGCAAAGGTTAATGTAGATGTTAACTCTCCTGTAATACTTTCTTCTTCATAATCACAGTATCAAGTTAATTGTGCTGTGTATTTTGAATGTGAAGAAAGAGTTAGCCTTTAAACTGTTAATGGTGTTTTTCTCCCTTCAATGAGCAAACAATTAATACATAATAGAAAAAACACTGTACCACCTCTCCCCTGCAAGTACTCATACAGTGTTTCGGTAAGTGAAATAGTTGGAAAACTGGTGGTGAAATCTCTTCTACAATTTATTAGATTCGCCTTTCCTTCTTTTAAGGATTGTAGAAGTGCGCTGGATCAATCACTCTTGTCTTATAATGGTATTATTCTTCACTTCAGCTGGACTCTAAAGACTATAGGAGGATATAAATTAGTAATAAATTAGTAATTATTGAAGTTTTCAACAGCTTCCTGTGATGGCCCTGTTACAACAAGAGTTGCTGTTGCATGGGATCAAGATGACTGTGGAAACTGGAGGCAAGGATACTAGAAATTCCTGAATATATTGCATACCAGTACAGCAAAACGTAACGAGCTGTGAGCAGTGTGATGCGTCACACTGGTGACAAACACACACGCTTGCAGGTTCCTATTAACTGAGCAAGTCAGTGGTTGGGTGCTGTGCCCTTTGGAGGGAGAGACAGGGTCTTGGTGGATGGCTCTTCTCCCTCCCTTCCTAAAAAGGGAAGCTAACATTTTTTGATATGTTACTACTGCACTATCTATATGTTCATCTTCATTAATTTCTTTAGATACGTGGCCAACACACTACAGACCTTACCAGCATATGCATTGTGAGCAAGGTGGTGAATTCATCCTAACTTCAAGCCACCTTGTGAATGGTGGTGTATCAAAGCTCTTCATGTCAACTGCAGTTTTATTTCAAAAAACTAATAATACCCCTTACAAATCCTATATATTGGGAAGGGAAAAAAAAGTCCCATAGCTGCAACTACAAGCAAACCCACAAGTTTGAGTTTCCACTATACAAGGGCAAGTCTGTGCTTCAGCCTGTGCTTAAGGCGGTTAGCTCCATAGCTACATGAGACCTGGGCAGGGCCTTGGCACTGTTGTGGCTAGCTGTGGTTTTAGCGGGCTGTTAATCATAACAGAGAAGAAGGAACCAAGATTAACTACTTCTGAAGGTGCCTGGGCCTTCAATTAGGTTTCCCCCTCTTTCTTTTCAGAACTGCTGGCACACAACCCCTACATAGCAGAATCAGGCCAGAAAGTTATTTAACAATTTTTTTCCCTAAAAACATTGCTTGAAAAGTAAAGGTGCAGTAGCTGATTCCTTTCCGTGCAGTCAGGTTATAAATTTCAGGATGACTCACTTCAACCAAAGTGCATTGTGGTCAGCTGTTCATTAGCAAATAATTTCTTCAGTCTGTCATATGCAAAAATTATTCCTATGTAATCCCTCTTTTTTTTTCTTTTAAAGCAGAACAAAACCCACCTGTACTCGACGTTTAACCAGCCCGCAGCCATTCTTTGAAAAGCTGATTGTAAGAAGTGTCAATAAAGCATGTTTGAATTGAAGGTTCAAATAACTGTAGTGTCCTACTCTGCTCCTCTACATATTAAAAAGAAGTATGGCAAAATGGAAGATAAATTAATGAGACCTTTGTGTAGGGTTAGTTTCAGGTAGCATTACACCAACTGAGGCAGAACTCCAGTGTCTTAGGTCTTTTTTGAAGAACCTTGGTTAAATTAATCACTTTGTATTTGATGCAAAGTTTCCTAGTGTTTATTATTCTTCAATAATAAAAATATTTCCTTGCAGATAGGTTTGGTGTTTATTTATGATGTAATTTCTCTTTTGTTTAGATGAAGTGCAACTAGTAGAGGGTAGTTCTACAAGTGAAGAACAGTCCAATCCTGGTCCAGATGCTACCAAAGAAGTGGATCCAAATCATGCTACTGACCAAACGGAAGAACCTGAATTTACCAAAGAGATGGAGGCACTAGCCCTGCACCCTGAAAGTCCGCTGGAAAGTGAGACCGGCACAGCTGACATTGCTTGTCAAAAAATTCAAGATTCTGAGGAGTAAGAAGAGGGTAGGAAGGGACTAAGAGTTGTGGCTACATTCCTGTACCTCAAGAGTCCCAAAGAATTTTTTATGCTGACCGTGTGTTGAGTTCTTACAGCATGGCTTATGCAAGACTCCCTTTGAAAGGCAGCATGACTCTGTTCATCATGAGATGAAATACTGGCTAATTTTGTCTAGAAATACTTCAGGTTCTGTTGTAGGTTGTCAAAATAGGTATTTACTCTCTGATAAGAACTAGAGTGGCATAGATCCATCTGTATGTATACCAACAGTAAGCATAGTAAAAATCTATGAGTATCTGTGGTTACTGAGCCACTTAGTGAAAAATAAAAAGCATTTGATTTGGATTCCTGTTTTCAGAACCTAAAATTTATGCTAATTGTAATTTAAATATTTTTTTTTTGCAATTACACAGGACTGTAGTTAACAACATTGGGAAGCCAACTGTTAAATTGCTTTTTTACACTACTTTATGAAGCTTTATCTGAAGGAATTCAGTAGCAGTTAAGTTTCTGAAGATGCTCATCTGAATTGTCAGCTTTTCATGACATTACTGTAAATATTTTTAACTAGTGAGTGCACAACAATAGTGTCTATTTTGTGGCAGTTTTATTAAATGATACTGCTGTCTCAAGCTGACTGTGAAATGTGTGTTTCAACAAAATTATTTCACTATTGGTTTGGTTAAAAATACTCCAGGTTTATCAAAGGCTAATGAAGGGAAAACCAAAATGACTTAAAATATCTTGACTGACCAGAATAATGGTTTCCAAATCTCAGTGTTCAGGTAAAGATGCCTTAGAGCACACTGGGATGTTGCTTATGAATTATTTCATAAACATGAAAGATGCTTAATATTGTTCATGCTGAACCTGGTCACAGTGAATTAGATGGGAAAATTCATATGTGTATTGGTACAATTGGAATTTCATTTAGGCTGTCAGTTAAATACCATATCTAGAAAATAGCTTCCCTTAACTATGCTGTTTTCACTCAGATTTATGACTTGAAATGATGGGGAATGCCACAACCAAAAATATCGCTTGCTGCATAAGGATGACAAAAGTTGAGATTCTATAATTGTTGGATGAGTAACGTGTTTTTGAACATGGCAGTATCCTTCAACTTAGAGGAATAAGGACCAGCCTCAAAACAGAGGAGAAATAAAATGCTATTAATTTTTTACTATTTAATATATTGAAAGTTTTTGTTTAATATTCTGAAAACTGTAAGAGTAAGGGTACATAAATGCACCTGTGCAGGGAATGTACTTGTGTTTTAATTTCAAGGATTAGTAAATTGTGAGGAGTAAAAGGAAGCTTTTTAAAAGAAGGGAGCTGTGTGACAGTTCTGTCTATTGCATCTGTTAATGGCTTTTGGGACATACAGTGCCATTCTTATTTGACCTGCATGGGCCTCCTGTAGCTGGGCTGTGCAAGTTTAATTTCATGACAACTGGCAAGCAAGATGTGCATGCCTGGAGCTTCAGTATGGAGTCATGATGTGGTTCACCGTCCACTCTTGGATCTGGGAATGCAGAAGTGCTGCCGGTTCCCTGTTCTACACGTAGCATTTGGGGCTCATGGGGATGTGTTGCTCTTTCTCTGTAAGGTTTCTCTGAAAATCATTTAGGGCAAATGATTCAGGAATTTTAGAAGTGTGGTAAAATCCACAGCACAAATCCTGCTCTCATTCTGCCAGCCAACGCTTTTTCTTGGTAAAGAAGAAAAGCCCAAGCAATAGGAGAAAGTATGAACATTGGAAATGGTGTGAAGTGTGGGATCGTGGACACAGATTGCATTTGTTCTCATTCTAACTTGAAAAGGCAGAAGCTGCCACACTTCCCTCTCTTTGCCAAGAGTCTCAGAGGACAGGAATTTGAATCCAAGTTTGGGTCCTGGTGCGCACTGGTGCTCTAGAGCTACCTCTGCCATCCTCAGCTTGAGCTGGCAACAGCTCTCCTGTTGTAAGATCATGGTTGATAGGTCCTCCATAAACCTGGGGTAATGACTAGCTCTTGCATAATCATGAATTGGAGGAAACACCTTGTGACGTTACACTAATACTTTTTTTTCTGTAAGTTCATTTAATTAGATGCATGTTTTAATGTACTTGTTTTATTGAGATACTAACTTACTTAAGGATCTTATCTCCACACTAGAGAGAGGAATAATTCTTTTTCTTAAGGAAGAAAGTAGTCATCTAAATTGGACTGTCAGCTTCTCATGGGGTTCTTCTGCTTTTTTTCCAAGCCGTCTTTCTTGACAGGTGGCTACTTTGTTCCAGTCAACACAGGAAAATTCCATTAAAGATCTTGTCATTGCCCGCAGTAAAATGGCATCTTCGGGGTTCTCAAATGGTACTCTGCAAAAGGAACAAAGCAAATATGCATTATCTGAATGTTTCCAAGCTACATTGGAGCTAATTTACTGCACACTGTATAAAAGATGAAGTTAGAAGTCAAGATGACACTAGCAGAGAGGATTTGAAAATTTTCAATTTCTGAAAGGTTTCCTTCTTTTACGAAATTTAAGAAAGAAAAACAAAATGAGAAAATGTCAGAATCACAGGATTCTAAGGGAAAAAAATCATGCTATAAATTATTTTAAATACATTTATATTAGACTTTAAAATGCTATTTTGTTTTCACTTTTTTTTTTTCACAAAAACTATAATTGTATACTTCTAATGCTCTGATTCAATGGAAATCATAAAACTAATTTTATGATTTCATAGTGATATGATGTCTATTAATGCAATACACATTCATTTCACCACTGATCTTCTAACTAGTCACTCTGCAAATATCCCTTCTCCAAGCTCTGAATCCGGAACACTGTGAGCTTGTGTTGTTCATGTATCCTGCCACAGCTGCAGTCTGAGAGAGAAAAGTGGCAGACGTACAACATCAATGAAGAACTGACAAGGGCTTCATGTCAGACCAAACTCTTTTAACTCAGATACAATATTAAGATTTGATCTTATAAGGACTTATTTCTTAAAGATGTATCTGCAGTAACACACACCTAATATAAACCATGGGAATGTTTCCACCAAGTATAACACACTTTGTCATGAAATGGTACCTTGCAAAGTCTAAGCATCTACATAAACAGGATGGAGAGGAAGCTGTACTTCCAGTCTATCAATAAGGACAGCTAACTCCACCGAAAGCAGGTAAGAATTAATTTTTAAACGTAAACTAGCTTGACTGTGAAGAGCTGTACTCAAAGTGAATAACCATATAAAATCAAATATATCATCATAGCATCATAGGTAGGCTTTTATTATTCCCTTTAATAAATTTTTCAAGTATTTTCATGTGTAAAGCTAGAAAGTAAAACCAAACCTGATATCTGAAGTTTGTAAATTTACAAAGGTAGCATCTAAAATGTCATTGCATTAAAGTGCAACTCCTTTATACTGGCTCAATCCAGACACAAAACAGAGATATGTTTTACATTTATTTCTGTGATTTTGAAATCAAACAGAATAAAAGTAACATCAAGTACAACCTAAAAAGTTTCATTCTACAAGTCATAATATTTTCCAGAGAGTATGTCTTTTTGAGCAGCCAGTCAGAAGTTTTCTAGGCCATAATATAGAACAGGTATACTGATGCTCTAATACTTAAAGCATGCTTTTTCTAGTGATCAGTATTTGATCTTATACATAAATAGCATTTTTATATACCCATTTCCAAATGTGGAATACCTTTCAATATTAAATTTCAGCCAACAGTGGAGAAGTTGTCTCATCAGAGTTAGTATAGAGTTGTAACTGTATTAAACACAAAGCCCAGAAATTTTTTCAAAAGCTCATTTTTACTGGACATTTTCTCTCATTAGGGTATTTTTTAGGCACAAGAATAAGAAATTAAGTAAATGCTTCAGAGATGCAAAAGAAAAAAAATCAAAATACTCACTTATTTGTGTGATTTCCAAATTCACATCCTATAACAAAAAGTTAAAATTAAGACATTAATAGCTGTGCAGCATTTTGATTATCTGAGGATTACCATCCTGATCCTAAATTACTTGTTCAAATGAACTGAACTGAAAACTGGCAGATGGTTTGAAATATTCAAGATCATCTTTTGTTAAATTACTGTGGAAACAAGTATCTGTACGGGTTTTTTTAAAGTTTATTTAGTTCTTGTATTTTATTTCCCATAGACATATATATTCCTGAATTCTTTTTTCTTCCACAGAAAGATGACGCCACTGTCTATATATGTGAATGACTGCATGGTAGAGATAAAGACAATTGTATGCCTACTTTGGTAATTATCAGCAAAACTAATTAATTATTAAATATGATTAAACTATCTCTTTTTTTCCCAACCTTTTCAAAATTATTGTAAAATACACTGCTTTCAGGTCTACTATTGTGATATATGCATTAAAAAAAATGCAGGTATTTTATTACTGTTCCAAACTTCATCAACATTACTGTTTAAAATGCTACCATTTCAGTCATCTATGCACAATATTGTTTTTCTTATCTTTAAAACATAAAAAAAAGCAGACGTGGGATTTCAAGGTTTGTTCTGGATTATCACACAGTACAAGTCACAAGGCTCCAGGAGGTATTCACCTGCTTTCTTGTGCCAGAATCATGCTGTCTTCCAGATCTGAATGTTTTAAGAACTCTAAAAATTACTTTATATGCTATTATAAAACATCATTAAAATATTTTCAACTTGGAAAGCATAAAAAGAAATCTGCTTACAAAACTAGGTAAGATATGTAAAATTTAAACCACTATTTAGAAAAAAATACTTTCCTCAAGAGATTGCTTTATAAAAGCACTAGAGGGCATCAAAACTCTATGATGCTGATCACTGGCTGAGACAGCCTGGAAGTGTACTGGATGTTTTTAATTAAATAAAACTAAAACTAAACACTCACAAGACTTATTGGGAAAAAAATATGAAATTTTGTTTGTTCAGCTATCTTAAAAGACAATTCTGTAACTACAGGGAGTGACTAGAACTTATTTTCCACAATACTCTTAGTAGAAGGATTCATTTGTTGCCTGTTGCTGCTACTACTTTATGAAGCAATTTGGTTGGGTTTCTGATGCATTTATACTTTATTACTAAACCAAATAACTTCTTATCAGATGAGCAGACTTTTTCTAATCAAATCACCTAAGAACATGCTTTTCCTTTACATTATTATAAATACCTGAGGGCATCATCCGTCTTCTGGCTGGTTGAGTGCATCTGTTAGATCCCACTGCAGTCCCCAAGTGTGTATTTACTCTCTTTCCAAAAGCTACTGACTGCACAACACAAGACCTTTGGTGGTTATAAAGATGAAGCGCTGACTCCCTTTCTCTTTGTGTAACTGCTGTTAGAAGGAATATAAAAATTTTACTTTTTCTACCAACCTAGAAGGCTGGTATTATCTATCTGCATGCAGAAGGTCATTCACTTTTTTTGCACCAAGTTTTGTAACAATAGTGGTGTAAATCTGCATAATTTCAGAATGATTAAAAATGGGAACATGGAGTATTACTTCCTAAGGCTTTAGGGTGAAGTCCTGTCCAACGAAATAAAGTTGTTTCTTTTAGGTGCAGTAGGATCAGAAATTTTAAACCAATAAACTAGAAAGCAAGACTTTTCATACGACTTAAATGGGATCTACTGCACAAGTCAGTAAAGATTTGGAAGTTTCTCCTTGAATAGCAAAAGCAAGTCCTGGTTCAAAGCCAGTTCAATTCCCACTGCTTAATTATAGACAACTGTAGGAGTGCAATCAAAAGAAAAGCCTCACATTTTCCTGTTTTGCACTTTAATTCAAAAATAACTTTTAATTTGAAACAGAGTTTGAGACGATTGACTTAAACAGGGGTTGTTAACTTCAGTGATATGAACTGCACACTAATGTAGTACTTCAGCTATGGAACAGAAGTGATCTGAAGGTTTACATTAAGTAACTCTGGCAGAAGCGTTCTGAATTCAGGGAAGGTTTTAAGTCTTGGTGTCTAGGAGACCAATTAGGAAGGAACTGCAGTAGTCATGCCTGGAGGTAGCAGAAATGTGAGCACATGTCTTATGTAAAAGAGACACCCAGGACTATGCTGTGGTAATGTTCCACAGATGGTGAAGAAGCTTTGTAATGTTAAAGAAATAGTTCACTAAATAGAATGTCCAGGGTACAGCTTGATACAAATTAATGTCTCAAGTCTTAATCCAGGACTGTATTTAGGAGATTAAATCCTGGAAGTTTTACGGAAGTGTTTCTAGAGCTGTAAATGCAACATGTATTTTCCAGCACGTTAAGCTTCAGTCTTCACTCCCCAGTCAAAAATGATCATTAGTCAAAGAGTCTGACAGATGTGTTAAGCACACGTGTAACCCAAGACCAATATTCAAGAGACTGGAGGCACTGGTGCAAAATGAATGTGCAAGCAAATGGCTGTGTGGTCAGATCCAGCAGCTCCTCATCAACCCCTAACACGTGCTGTGGCCCATCCACCAGCTTTCCTTCATGACAGAGCTACAGTCTGCCAGCACCTGCAGATGTCCTGGGGCTGCCTGGCTCAAGTCCTGCAGCTGATTCTCCTAGAGACTGGGAGCAGGTTTTCATGATGACATTGTTTTTCCTTGCTACATTTTATAGGGTAGAGCTGGTGTAGGAATCAACACCTCTCTCAGTGCTCTGAAGTAATTTTCAGCCCTCCTGCCAATCACATGGGTCTCCAAACACCAGAGACAAAAATCTCCAAAAATTATTTTCTGGGTCCACTGTGGCATGTTTATAGATTCATCGATTTGTCATCTGGCTGTTCTTAAGATAGTTTGAGTTGGGGTGGGTTTTTTTGTGTAAAATTTATAGCAGACAAGCTGTGAAAGACCTCTGGATGATTTATGAAGATTTATACTTGAAAGCTTGGTCAGCATGTACCTCATAATGAAATGTGCATATACATCTTTGAAATGTGCAGAAACATGTAGATAGCTGAGGATATATTATCCATACCTAAGTAAACACACCAATGTGAATACACCAATTTGAATGCACAAATGTAGGTACATGTTTCTAAGCACAGGCTTTTATCTGTCTTACCCAAAAATATACAAACCAAGATACAAGATAAACATATACAATTTAAAAAAATGGAAATCAAACACATTTGGCAAAGTAAATTGTTTATGCCATGCAAACTCTATTTGCTTGACAAATCTTGCAGAAAATGGCTACCTGTTCCTTAGATCTTTTGCTATGTCAACAAACGCATGTAAAAGAACAGGCAAAATTAATTCCCCTATTTCTCCATACTAATTAAAATCAAAAGCAACTGTCAATGCTGTGTGAGAAGAGGAAAGCGATCCTTACACTTCCTGTCAAGGAGCTGTACCGAAGGAAGGGAATATATCACATAAAGCCGGTAGTCTGGGTCTTGTGCCAGAGGGTTATTGAATAGGTCTGCAAAATGTATACAGAAAAAAAGAACAGCATCACAAAAAAGCAAACACAGCAAAAGAAAAGCAACTAATTTAGCAAGGCAGGAAAATTAAAGATCACTAGTAGTCAAAGATTTTGTACAAAATATTATCAAATTCAAATTGTTCTTATGCCGGGTAAACAAAGCACTGTCTCTTTACACATGCAAAATTACTCAACCAAACACAGACTGCAAGAACTGGCTTACTGCAGAGTATGCAAAATACCACAGGCAAGAACTGAGTAAAGGTGCCATCATGCACTCCAAACCCTTCAAGGTTTTTTTTCTATTTTTTATGATATACAGACAAAACCACTAAGTGTTTCCCTTTGATTTTCTTATGTTGTTAGGTGATGCCTATTTTAAAAAGCAGTAGGTTTTAGGTGTGACAGCTTAAAGGTAAGACACAATTTGTAGGGGGAGAAAGTTATTAAAACCAAATGAGCTTTAGGACTCTGAAGGCTTCATCATAGCTGACATAAAGTTTTTATCCCATAGACGCAATATGAAATGTAAATAAATATCCAGTCTTCTGATGTTTTGACAGATGATGAGTTTGAAAACTCAAGAAACTTAAAGAGTAAAATGTTTAAAATGGCCTAGCTGACATGCCATATCAGTTTGTTTCATGAGAGTGATATCTGAAGTTGATTAAAACAGAAACTGGCTCATTCCCAGATCAGCTATCAAACAAACAGGAGTTGTTGGGTGGGTTTTTTTCTAAATAAAAACCATAGTAATGTCATTTTTCTCCTTACACAAGTGCTGTTCTTCTGAGACAGTAAAAATAATCAGGAGATTGCTACTTGAGATCAGAGCAGAAAAAAAAAAATCTTAAATTAATAATTTTGACAACTTCGACCAAGGTCTACACTGGTTTACTAGTCTGTTTTTTAGAGGGGGGGCTGTGGCTAATATTCACTTTAGGGTAAATAATCCTGTTATATGTAATTTTAGCAGTTAGGGAGAGAAAGGTGGTATTGCAAAAGCAGATAAGAAACTAGAAGAAGAAAAAAGTCTGGAAATATTCCATGAGCTTGTAAACTACAAGATGCCATTTCGCGTTCTTCAGGATAAGTATGACTGCCAAAGAAAGCTCAGTGCTTGATGCAATTTAGCAGTTATTTTGAGGGCACAGTAAGGTTGGAATGGGCATTTGGTAACTCCTACACAGAAAGTACCTGTTCATGTATTCAGAAGAGAACTTAAAATATTTTAATTCTTTTAACAAATTTTTTTAAATCACTGTACTTAGAAGTAGTGAGAGACCCACAAGGTGGCAGCAGCAGAAAGTTCCATTTTTACTGGACAAAGTACTATCTAGCCATTTTTTCTAGAAAGAGTTAATCAGAAAGAATATTAGGTATATATCTGATAAGTCTGTTCTTGAGTCAATATGTGATAGCATTCCAGAGAGAAAAACGTTTCAGAAAGATCTCTATAAGTAGGTATGTTTGGTAGCAGAATGGAATGAACATTCAAGAGAGATTATTTCCAAGGCACAAGCTGGGGTCAATACTAAGTAAGTACTTCTGACTCTGGATGCTACTAGGAGCACATCCCTCCTCATCAACACTGATTTGTAGGTTTGTTTTAGAATATATGAATTTTTCTACTGCTCATTCTTACAATAAATCCAACCATTGTACAGATCAAGATGGTCTTATTTTACAAAACATCTGGGATAAATTCTTGGCTCTGCTATCTACCTTCTTGTCAAGGTCATGCAATTTTACTTCTACAAATTATGGATAATGCTTTCTTCCTCCACAGTTTTGTCTGTTTTCTCTATTTGGAGTGTAGGAAAACTGTGCCTGTCCCATAAGGGGCAGAAAGGAACTACTGCGGTAGAAACATAGTGAAGAACAAAAAGTTTTCTGAGGTCTAGCAGCAAGATGTTATCAGCTGCAGATAATAAATCAGTTGAGGCAACTTACAGAGTACATAAGAAAAATCTTGGATTCCAAAAGGGAGATGTGCGCACAAGGTGAGCCCATAAAGAAACTCTACATATCTCCCAAAAGGCTGCAGTTGTGAGCAACCTATCCAGTAAATCTTTAGAAGCTGAGTGTCTTCCCTAAATGCCTGATGAAGAATGGTGTTCTGCTACAAATCCAGTGCAGGGTGGTGGCTAAAAATCACAAGAGAGCCTTAAGGAAGAGAAATGCAACATTTTGGCAGTTGGATGCTACTTCTGAAAGTGAACAATAAGAGTATTAGACTGCCCCATTTCAATAGTTCTAATGTCCCCAAGAGTTACAAAATAATAATATGCTATTATGCATCCAGAAGCTCTGCTGAAGGCTAGCAAGCGTGGTTTTTTAATCAGATTGTCCAGCAGTAAAAAAGATCTACCTCAGAACAGTGAGAACTCTCCCATTCCCAAAGCAGTTTTTATTTTATAAAGGTGAGTTATGGGTTCAGCCCTTTTCAAAGCTACACAGTGTAAATCCTGCACCCATTTCACATTTCTTAATATTGCAAGAAGGTGTATAAATGATACAGTAATATGATATTATATAGGATATGACTTTTAAAATGTATTTTGTTCATTTATTGCTGTAATTTATTTCAAAGATGACAGTACATTTTATTAAATCGAGTCCTGTTAATTTGAGAACTCATTATTATGAAATCTCTTTGAAACAAACACATTGGAGATTTTTTCATGACTGCAACAGTCAAAAAGGAACTGTAAAGTTAGGTTATTAAGTTTCTTCCACTGACCAGCATTCATTCTCATATATTTGAACTATGGAACAATTTTTTTATCAGGGTAGATTGGTATATTCTCTATATATTGTTTGATAGTTCTCTTAAGCACTTGTTTTTCTATGATGGTGGCCAGTCCAGTATGCACCCAATTTTCGCTATGCCTCTGTGACTGCCATGCATAATAACTTGGCAGCATGTTAACTATCCGTTGTTTGTCTTTATTTCACACAGATGGTTGCAACAAGTACAACAAACTCCCTCCGCTTGCTGAAGCTTCTTATTAATTTGTAGGGCTATAACATTAAATTCAGGTGACTGCACCATTCATACATAGGATGTCTGTCCAAACTTTGCCTAATCACTTCAAATAACTGCATTCTTAAATGGACTATTTTTTCAGTCCATTTAAAAAAAAAAAAAAAAAATCACAATTTGGCTGGTGTGTTGTCTTCACAAACACTTGATTTGTTTTCTTAATATTGGCCCAGTGTCAAGTTCAATTAAAAGTGTACTTTTCAACCCTTATTTTCCTTTCCCGCAATCAGACATTCAGTTCTCTGAATGCATGAGGAGGTATGGCTTGATGACATTCACCCCCATGAACTGTGTCACTAAGATGCAAAATTGGTTTCCTGTTTTCTCAAAGTGGCATGACCTATGATATTCATTTAGGAGCCATGGAAAAAGACAGCTTTCATTTTCACTTTCAATAAGTTAATAGCAAATAATCCTACTTTCCCCAGAGGGTAGTTCTTACATTGTAACTTAATGGTGCCAACACTGTTTGTATAAATTAATTTCAAATTTCAGAGCCTATGCTACTTTCATTTCCAGTGGTTCTGGTTCAACTAGGGTAGGGTTAAGTTTCACCAGCAGAGAGGGGGAAGGGATCTCCAGATGGGTTATTCATACCATGCTGACCTCAGGTCCGGCAGCGCGGCAGCGGAGGAATCTTTCCTTTGAGGCTTTGGTCAGGGGAAGCATGCGCGGCGGGCTGGCTGTGTTCACTGCGGTATTTCTCTGTATATCTTTTGTCTTGTTTACTGTTATTACTGTTTATTGTTGTTATTATCGCTACTGTTGTTCAGATTATTACACTGTTGTATTGAATTTCTCCTTATTTTAACCCGGGGTTTGTGCCCTACTCGGTCTGAGGGTGGGGGAGGGACAACGGCAACGTGGTCTCCTGTCCCAGCAGGGCCTAAACTACCACAGCCTTTTTGATGCCCAACGTGGGGCACAAGGGGGTTGAAATAAGGTTCAAAAAGGGACAGACCCTGCCCAGAGTGTGTTGGAGCAACCTGTTGGGTGCAATTTTCTCTGTTTGTACTTGTATTGTTTGATAAGAAAATGTTTGCAATGCTGTCCTACTTGCTTGCGTGGTGGGGCTGGATTAATCCTTATATCCAGTGAATGATCCCAGTGCTGATATTTGGTGGTGGTGGAGAATGTGTAAAGGCTCTCTTTTTGCTGTACTGGCTCCTGACTGCTTATAATGCGCTTGTATCTTGGGGTGGGGGGGGTGGGCCGGGCCGGTACCTGTTTGCTGCCTGGGCTTTTGTTAGGGGTCTCACCCCCTCTATGGGTGAGCCAGGGGAAGAGATCCTCTCGGTTTTTGAGTTTTAATTATCCTTGGAGCCTGCAGGCCAGTGTGATTGTGGAACAATGCTTTCTGAATGCCTGCCAGATCTTGTTTTGGGCCATGCGGCACTTCTCTAACAATAGCAGTGCCCGGAAACCTGCCCCAAGGTCAGATAATAGTGAGTGGCAAGAGGTGTGGGAAAAGATGAGCAAAGGCCTGGGTTAGTGGTCGCCTCCAATGCTTTGGAATTTCACTCCCGAACAAATGCAGAGCCCTGATAAGCTGATGGAGTGCTTAGAAAGGGTGTGTTACCAAGCTGGCAAAACCCAGGAGACACAAATCGCTGCGATGTGTTGGGGACTTGCCCATGCCTACTGTGTCCTTTTTAATACCACCCGCTGCCCTCAAGGGGGAGAAAGGGCTTCAGGACTTGAGGGTGAACTTACTGGTACAGCAGCTGGGCCAGGGGGACAGGCAGAGCCAGTCTCAGTCACCTCCACCAGCACAGCAGCTGAGCCAGAGAGACAGCCCATGCCGGTATCAGTCGCTCCAATACAGAAAACCAAATATACCAGAAAGTCAGCTCTCAAAGTGGGGGATGGGGATGAGCCAGGCCCAGCACGGGAACAGGAGGAAGGACCAGAGGTGATCGGCCGATCTCTGTCCCCGACTGAGCTGCGAGAT